GCGGAGGAGCTGCCGCGCGAGCGGGAGCGCCGGGGCTGCGAGGCGCCCTTGATGCGGCAGGTAACGGCCGCGAGCGGCGCAGAGCGGAGCGGACGGGGGGGAGACCGCGCTGCGGCCGCCGCGCCCGCGCGCGGAACGGCTCCCGCGGCGGTGGCAGCGCGGGGAGGCCGGTGGGGCTCTGGCCTCGCGCGAGAGCGAGGGGAGGAAGCGGGACGGAGCAGCGGGGCCGGGCGGGGGGGGCGTACAGCGGCTTTGCCCCCCTCCTGTGGCCGCCGACGCGACCCGCTTTGGAGCGCGGGGGCTATGGCAGCTGTGTCACCGGGCTGCTGGGCAGGCAGCAGCTGCAGCGCTTCGCTTGTGGCGAGGAAACTCAAACGGAGCTCAAGAAGGTTGAATTCCCCCGTGGCTGAAACCTGCGAGCGCCAGCGCCGGGGTTTGTGCGCTCCGTGGAGCAGCCAGGCCGCGTCTCCCCGAGCCGCGTGTAGCAGCGAGCGCAGGTTCCGAGTGAGCCGAGAGCCCCTGCGCAGGCTGCCCCGGGGCCTGGCGGCCTCGCCGGCCTCCCTGACCACCAGGCGAGGGRAAAGGCGCCTTCCCACAGCAGCAGGACGGGTCGGGAGTAAACCCACCAAAGTGACGCGCCGTACAGCGCTGATCTGCCCGGGGTGTCTCCAGATGCGCTGTTTTAGTGTCTGCCTTATCCATGGCGATGCTGGAATTTCAGTTGCGATATTGGGGATTTCCTCCTCCTGTTGGTATTTGTCTTTTCCCCCTAATTAAAGTTGGACTGTGGCTTTTGCCGTGGTGATAAGGCGTCGTGACTGCTCCCGCTTGCTGGTGTGCTGTGGAAGGGTTTCCTGCTTGGCTTCTTGCAGGCGTGGTGTCAGTAGTATTATCATGCTCTTTAAAAAGAAAGGAGTTGATGGCCTTTAGCAGGTAGTGTGATTTAGTGCCCTAAGCTTTCTGTGCATGGCTGATATTTTGGTTTTTGTTTTTTATTTTTTCTAAAAATGGCATATCAAGCAGCTTGATGTAGTGGTGCTGGCAGTGTGGCATGAGCAGTCATCCCAGCAGCAGGTCCGCGTGTCAAATTTGGCTTTCACTTGGTTTTTGAGGTGTTCTGAGGTGTTTTAAACAATCTGCAGAGCATCCATAAGCGAGTCTTCTCAAGTAGTGTTTCAAAACTTCTCTTTGACTTGGCCAAGTGGCTGCAGTGCCCCTCGGAGCTGYGCTGTGCTGAGCGGGGAAAATCCAACGCAGACACCTGGGGACTTTAAAATAATAATAATAAAGAACGGGGGGCAGGTTGGTTTTGCGGGGTGCCGGGAGGCGCCGCGGCAGCGCCGGGGCCCCGCGGCGCCCGGGGGCCGTGTGGAGGCAGCGGGCGGCCAGGGCGCGAGGCCGCCCCGAGGAGGCTGCCGGGGAGCCGAGGGGCCGCCTGGGACGAGGTGCGGAGGTGCTGGGCCCTCCGCGGGGGGCGAGGGTGCCGGCCTGGGGGGGGAGGCTGCAAATCCTCCTAGCCTCGGCCAGCCCCAGAGAGAGAGACACACGCACAGAGAGAGAGGAGGAGAGGCTGCGGCGGCGGCTGCATCTAGGAATATGAATATCCCCCCCTCGGCAGGTCGGATCACCTCGGCTCCATGGTGAGGAGAAAGAAGAGCCCCCCAGGGCCCCAGGAGCCGCGCAATGGGTAGGCTGGGGTGGGCGCGAGGCACTTTGCGGGCCCCCGGCCCCCTCGGCGCTGCCCTGCTCTGCCGGCGCTTTGGTGGCTGCTTTTTTTCTCTCCGTGTGTCTGTCGAGCGCTTCCAACTGCCCGAGTTTGGCTCGGTGATTTCTCTCCCAAAGGCGCCCTGGATTCCTCCAGGAAGGTGCCAGGGGGCTGCCGGGGGAGCCCCGCTGCCTTTTAGGCCCCTTTGGGGGGGTTCCCGCGGGGCTTCCCCCCTCCCGCCCCTCGGCACAGGTTGTTGGGTCGGGACAGCAAACGAAAGGGGATTTAGTAACAAACAACGGCGGCCATGTTGAGAGGAATTTCTGCAGCTAAACTTCTCCCCTCTCAGCCCAGGGATTTTTCTGCCTGGGTGCAGGGGTCCGTGGCCTGACTTTGTGCCCCCTCCTTTTCTCTCTCCCCTCCCCRACAGGATGACAGTGAAACTGGGAGAGAGCAGCGGGGAGGAAGGGGTGAAAAAGCTGGGCAAGCGAGCAGGAGGAGATGAGGAGTCCCTGGAAGAAGAAGGGGCAGGAGGAGGAGGAGAGGCAGCTCCAGGCAGCAGCAGCACAAAGAAAGAGGAGAAGATCATTAACAGCAACACTAACGGCAGCCCCTCGGCGACCCCCGCCGCGGTGCAGGCCCCTGCCGCCCTCCAGCCGTCCCACAGCCAGGACCAGCATCATTTTCTCAGGTCCAGCGTCAGACCTCAGAGCAAACGGCTGAAGAAGGATTCCCAGGCATCCTCCTCGGTTGGCAACAGCAGCACCGCAAAAGGCAAAGGTACCGTGTTTTGTCGCACACAGGCTGAGGCACAGGGGGGTCACCTGTGTTTTTAGGCGCTGTCATCCTTGCTCTGGAGATGTCATCTTTTGTTTGCTGTTTGGGAAGGTGTTTGGGGCTTTTTGCTTGCAGTGGCTGAAACCTTCTTTGTGTCCCAAGCCTTCAGTGTCTCTGCTGCCCACTCTYGTGTTTATGCTCACAAAACTAGGGCTTGGGGGGTATGTGGGCTAAGGGAGGGGGGTCTCCGTTCCTGAAGAGAGCCTTTAATTCTTGCGTCCCGTCACTCGGGAGTTTTAGGAAATTTCTGTGTTTTGGTTAGGAAATGAGACTCCAGCAAGCTGTGTAATCAGGTGGCTGTAGTCAGGCTTCTGACATGGGGTAGCAACAAAACATTTGTGGAGTACTATTTAAAAAAAAAATACTTAAAAAAATGAATCTTCCCTTTGTGTATTTCTGTGACCATTTTAACAAAAGAACTGTTTGGAAGCAGCTATGAAGTGCACATATTGAAGTATTTGTAGTACAAGGTTTYGTGAACTCCCAGTGCTACATCACTCTTTCAGAAGAGCTGGTGCTTTCACATCCAATTTGAGATTTTTAAACTATGGTTGCTATATATACGTATATGTGTGTATATTTACATACATATATACATATGCATGGACATACTCAATTTTTGAAACTTTAGCATTGTAGATAGGACTTTGATTTTTGAAGGCTGTTGCTCTCCTCAGTAGCTAGAAGGCAGTGAGGGTGTCAGGCTGTGCTGTTGTTTGTGCTCTGCCCTTGCTGGTTGACACCTGGCACTCTATTTGAACTTCATTCGCGTTTGGAATCGCTTGTGCAAACATACTGAAACATTATTTTGTATTACATTTTGAAGAAAACAAAACTTTCTGATTTTTTTCAGCACTCAAAACAATAAGGTTTACTCTTGCCTGTGAGAAACTAAATGAAACTSTACAGTGTATAAATGTATGTTGGAGAATACCTCACTCATCTCTATTACAGTGATCTGCACGTGCTGGGTATTAGGTAAACTTTTTAAAAGAATTATAGTAGCTTAATGTTGCAGGCAGAAAGCAGTTCTTTGCAAATTAGTATATATGAAGTATTGCCATGCAATCAAAAATTATTTAAGTCCTTTCTTTGACATATAATTTATATAATTGACTAAAATATTTTTAATACCTTAGTAAACTATATTTAATCTCTTAAACTTTTTTTTTAAGTGAAAATCTTATAGTGGAATGTTGGAAAGTAAAACTGGAAGTTTTCTTTTTTTTTTTTTTTTTCCCCAATTGCATTAAACCAAATAAACAGATGAAATACCCAGGAGTACTCAGCCGCAGATAGTGATTTCAAGAATTGTAAATGGTATTAAGTGTGAGCGGAGGTTTGTTTGAAATACATATAATCCATAATTGACATGTAGTAGATGTGGGTGTGAAAATACTCCATTGCTTTGAAAGTGTGCACACATGTGAACAAGTATGCGTTAGTATCTGTGCATGTGCGTGTTCATGTTTGCGTATTTGTAAATAAAAGCATGTTTACAGTTTTAGAGCAGTGGAATAGTTTCAGTGAGGTACGTTGACACTAAACTGAAAAGCAAACTTTATTTTTCTGAAATTACCAAAATAAAATTATATACACAGCATAATTATTTTTGTAATCAGTCATAAAATAGTGCATAAAATCTCTGTACCTGACTATGCTCTTTGACAGTCGGTGGCAAAACTATATTTTCACTTTTTCAATCGAAAGACCAGCCACAACTCAGCCTGGCTAGTTTTGGTGTGAACATATTGGAGCTCATTTCTCTGATGTGGTAGCATTTTGGGAGAACAGAGYCATAGAGTAGGATCCCCTTCTATTCTGAGTTCTTTACACTCGGAGATGCTTACTGAGACATTTTCCAGACGTATCTGAATTGTGCCTCAGAAACATCTGGTGTTTGCTATTCATGGGATTTACATTCCAAGAGAAGTATCACAGGGTTGTCTTCCAATAAGGAGCTAATTGAGTGATGAAGGTGGGAATAAACTCACTGTACTCCYCCTGTTAGTATCAAAATAATAAAAAGCTCAATTGCATTCACACTCTTTGGGATCAGAAAATACAGGACTTTTCCATTTTGCAGCTCACAGAGCAGGTTATAACTGCAAAGGTGACGATGACACTGGCGACCAGGAGTGTTTAGACCATGTTTATAATTGGTCCATATCCGAAACTTGTTAGTGGGATGATCTTTCAATAATCCTATGTATCCCTTAGAATATTCTTAAAGAAATAGTCCTGTTCTGAGGATCTCTGTACTCCAAAGTAAAATCTCATTGTAAAGAGGATCGGGATGGATATTATTACAGAGTAGGATCATGAACTTCTTTCAAAATGTAGTTACTCAGCAGGCATTGGTTGGTCCAAATTAGGTCTRTTACAGATTATTTTTGGCACTGATGCTTTTGGGGTACCTCATTGTAGCAAAGAAATTATTGATAAAATAATTATCACTGTAAATGGTAGGATGAATTGGGCCATTCAACATCTGCTAACTTTTCTGCTTTACCTTACTATATAGTTCGTGGAAGACTTCRATCGATAATTTTCAAATTCTGCCCAGTAGAATGTCTATATATATATATTTGTCCTTAATTTGGAGACTTGGGGATTCTGGCTCTTCCTTTTTATGCACTCTGTTGCATTTTGAGTTTAGGGCAAAAATGATGTAAAAATCAGTACAGTAAGATAATATTTTAWATTTTTTTCTTCCATTCGAAATCCTGTTTTGAATTGATGAAAGGTTTATATGAATTGCTGCACATATATATTAAAATTTGCATAAATTTCTAAATATCTAGTATATTTTCAAGTATTTATTGACCTTTATTGTATTTCCAAATTTGCGTTCTATACTTTAATGCACAGCTTTAGAAGGAGCAGTACTGAACATAAGTCTTACAGTAACTTGCACAAAATCAAAGGAGAAATCTGAAGAAGTCACTGGATGGAGGCAGTTAAGTACAAAAGCATCAAAGTTTCTTGAGAGTGCAGAATCAGGTCAAGATAGAGGGAGGTTGCTGAAGAACAATGATTTCTGAGAGTTTATTTCTAATATTAAATATGTTTTTACCTGTTTTTMCAGAAGAAGAATAAAGTCAGAGGAAAGGGTAACAAAATATACGGTGATGTTCTGAAGCGTGAAGCCTGTCTTTCATGATGTTGATCTAAATTTATTCACTAAATGTGCCAGGCAAATCCGAATGCTTTTTTGGAACCATTTTGCTGTAATCAGTAGTTCCTATTCAAGGAAAAGAAAAATTCTTCTGAAAAACTACACTGGACACGTTAATATATTCCATTTTTCTCCGTCTTACAAAACTCATCAGTCAGTAGCCCGCAGTTTGATTCAACCCATCAAAGTTCCATGTTCTGCAGTATGTAGGTTAGATTAACTACTGAAGAGGACACATATTCCAAGATACTTGATTCTACTTAATCTATGAGAATTGTTTTCACTGTGYCTTTCCCAAACTTGAGTGTTGCTGAATATATTGTAGACTTGTTGAAGGAATGAGATTTCACATCATTGTATCTCTAGGGAGTGTGTGACTGATGAAACTACCAGCACTATCCTTTGTCCTAATACTCTCTTTAATTTTGCCCATCTCATTTACAGTCATTGCTTCTCCTTCCCTCCTTGTCTGACATGGTTTCATTCCCCCTTTGTCCTCCTGTTGATCCAGGCTCTCCCTCCCTTCCTTTGAAAGTATCTGGGGAAGAGAACCCTGCAGGAGCTTTCGCATCACACCCCACCAGGAGAGGAGGATTTTGTTCCACGTGCCATGTGCAGTGCCATGTGCTGAGCTTGGAAAGGGGCTTGTCTGCAAGGCACACGGCTGCACAAACATATCATTTAGAGGGAAAGACAGGCTTTTTTTCAATCRGTGATACCTCTTAGTGTTTTAAAATACTTTAAGTGAAGTAGTAAGTGGGGTTACATAGATAGAAGTTTTATCACTACACCTTTCATGTTGGCTGGCATAGGAAAAATGTCAATTAAGTTACAGCTTTGATGTAAGCTGAACAGTTACTTCACTTCTTGTCATACACGTAAAAATATTTCCCAGGATGACGCCTTGTGTCTGAATTTCTTTTCTCCAGTGGTAAATAACTTAAACAACTTTGTCTGTGAGAAACACAGCCAAGTTTTTAGCTTTATGCCTAGTACAGGTGCTTATAACACATCCTTCTTTGTAATGGATGAGCAAGACAATATTGATTTACTAGAGTTGGGGAATGAGTGTATTTATAATGCACCATTTTTATTTACAAAGATGCACATTTTAGAGCTGTATTGGTTTAGCTCAGATGTTGCTGCTTTGGTAGCTTAGATACAGCATTGTCCATAAAAAAGTAAATGTTCAGTATAGTTCTGTGTGTAGACTCCTCCTGATAATCAGTACTGTTGGAAGACAGTCAGCTACATCTTGGTTGTTCAACACRAATAGTAAGAGCTAGAAGAAGCTGCATTTACTGCAGAAGCAAACAATCTAGGAATTAGTTTTCCAGTTATGTTCTTGAACTGAAACGAAGACTTACTGCAAAGTGTGTCCCTGCCTCTCTCCTTTGTACCTTCTTCTCAGGTAGAGTTGTTTGAGAGGATTGCATCGTGTTTCGGTTGTCCTTTCACACACTAAATGGCCTCTCTAAATTCCCAAATCGGGACGTTCTAGGSAATCAGCTGGTGTGTTTCTTCACTTACATATGTGATGGTCTCTGGCCATTGGAAAGATGAATGCCTAGAAAACTGAGCTTATTTGCCAAGCGATCAAGAAGAAAGTTTCAACATTTATCGTTGATTGCTTTTTCAGTAAAATCAGTAAGCAAATGATTATGGATTAAAGCTCTGCGGTGACAAACTTCCTGACATGTTGTAAGTTGGCATTCRCTTGCTCTCCTCTTACTTGAGGTACATGCAGTGGTGCGGTGAATGTTGTTTTCCTACCCAGATTTTTAAACTGTAGTCTTTAAAACCCTTTATATGCATTTTTGCATATAGGTTTTAGGTTTCGCTACAAAGCAAAATTAAACTACTAAACTGCAAAGACAACTTCTTACGATAGTACAGAAGGGAATAATGAAAAAAACGTAGTATGAAATGCYGCTATTCCAGTCACATATATCTGAAACCCTGACGCTAGTGGGCATGTAAGTGGGTAGAGAACATGGGATCTATAAGCTTTTTCTGAACATCGATACTCTGGTCTATGATTTTGTTAGAAGTTACCAAGAAACCTAATGTCTTGACAATCTGTAGAGTCAAAACTGAAAATGGCAAGAACTTAGCTTCCAAAGTTGTTGCTTTATATCTCCCCTGCAGGACCTGCTTCTCTGTTGCATCCTGATTCTCACAGCTATAATCACATGGATGTCCAGTCTTGTGATTCGTACAGGGAACGAGCAGCAGAGAGAGAATGACTGTCTGGCCTGCAGTCATCTCCCATTATAGACAATTTTAATTAGAGCAAATTCTTGGAGAAAGTCCCCTTGCTCTCTCCAACCATAAGGTGGTAAGACTCACCTGAACAGACTTTTTTGTTATAACACATTACTTTAATTCTCAACAGTAGATGGTTTAAAACTTAGGATGATATCAACCATTAATTAGATAAGACAAAGTTGCTGCTTGTTGCATATGTAAAGAACTTTATAAACAAGACTGAAATCATGGATTTGAGGGGTGAGTCGTAATGATGTGTATCTGCTTGCCGTGCCTTTTATCCTGAGTTGCTTTATAATACTATGTTTTAGAATAAACAGTACTTCTTACTGAGATCCAGTGTATGTTAGAGTAAATTTTGGTGATCTACTGAAATAGCTCTGTGCCCAATAGTAAGTAGTGGAGATTATGAAAAGGGATCATATAGCAAACTCCTTGATTCTTAGAAGAATTAAATGACATCTGAGATGTCTGTGAAGGTGAAGGAATATTAGCTCTTCAAAATGTTGACCTGTGAGACAAAATAGTTGTCTGAATAGTAATTTATTTCTGTTTAAAACGGTAGTGGCTGTGATGAACTCAGAAGGTCTACAGTGTGTCATTCGGGGAATTCAGAATAGAACAGATTATCTAAAGAATATTTAATAGAATAGCAAAGAATATCCAAAGGAACAGAAGAGCGATTCCAAATATATCTTTTTGTAAAAATTGAAACCATGGAGCACTTAGCGTGTCCTGAGGAGAGAAGGCTCAGTGGAACCATTCTTTTCCCTTTGCCTTTTACATGCAACTCGCAAGAAATCTACAGAATGGAATTTCTTTTTYTTAAGATGTTAGAGACCTCCTGACATATTTGGTTCTTGTGCTTTTTAATTATGGAAACCTCACRCGTACCGTGTATGCTGTATAGTCTCGAGGAAGTCTGTGATAGAACCTGTACCTGGCAACTGACTGCAGGTCTGTACTTCTTTGAGCACCCRTGCATACCCGGATTAGTTTATTGTTATTCTTTTTATCAATAGGTTTTCTAAATGATTTACTGGAAAGTTAGAGGTCTGCAATCAGAAGAGCAGTTCTTTGCCATGCAGGTTCTAGAGCCATCTTGCTAGAAGTGAAGTATTCCTTTTTGGGACCAAGTAGGAGCRAGAGGGACGGTAGATTGAGACTGGTGTGTTTGAATTCCCCTTTCTTGGTGTTTAGCAATTTTAAACATTAAGATTTGTATTTCAAGGGTGGTGGTTATTGTTGTCGTTGTTGTTATTATTGTATGCAAATTCCAGTTTTCTGATCACACATGTTCACTTGCAGAACAAATCCGGATTCCAGGTCTTAAATATTCTGCTTTTCTCCTCAGACAGCTATTCAACTTCCTTAACCTTTTATAATGATTTATTTCTTCTGGAGCCTTCACAGSTTCTGTGATAAAATTGCTTAACTTTCTGACTCTGTAGATGGCTGGTGAAGACTCAGGAAATGCATAAACTGTTTATTTGAAAAGTTTTTCTTACCTGGATATTCTTCTAGTTACCTAGAAGACTCTCCTTCATCCATCTTTTTCCGTAGGTACTTYCTGGTGGTGACTACATTTTTCTTTGAAAGAATCAAAGAGCAATTCCTAGAAATAAAAGAAACATTAACCTTAAAATGGATGCTCTGTCATATTTCATACCAAGTAAATAATTATTGCACACTGGAAGGGGAAAAAAAAAAAAAAAAAAGTAAATGTGGATGTCTTACAAACTCTGCTCTGATTTTTTTTTTCAAATATTCCCAGTTACTTGAACAAACATTTTTTTCCAGGAATCAGAACAGTGTGATTTTTATTACCCCAAGGAAACACTTTCAAAATGCAATGGAGTAGTTCAGATTTAGATACAAATCTTGAATCTCTAAGGCATAGTAAGTCCCCAGGAGTTGATTGTTCTGATACTCTGGTCATATTAGGTTGAGTTTTGGATATCCCAAGTTTTGACTGATTGATTGAACACAGACTTTGTTAGGTAAGCAAAATACTTCAAATAATTGAATCTTAAAAGGTGACTGGCCATTTTTAACTTAAGCATAAAAACAAATTACTGGGCTGATGCACATAAGCCTGGAAAGCTGGTTCAGATTACGGTATTTCACAAACTGGATTTGTAAGCAGGTAAGCTAAGACAAAAGAGTTTATCATAAAATAAAGAATAAGACTTGAAAAATAGTGTGAAAAGACCAGTAATTGTATAAAAGGTAATGGTAATAAGAATGTTTTATAATTAAAAATTTTAATATTTTAATATTAAAAAAATCTTTTTTTTAAATGAAATACACTGCTGCCTTGTTAAGAACAGTCAAATCTTATATAATACATCATAGCAATTTTTTTTAAGTATTTGGGAAATATAAGTCACTGAACATAATTTTTTTTGTGGAAGAACAGAGTTCATTTTTTGTGTGTTCTCTCAGATTTCTAAATGAACTTTTTTTTTTTTTTTTGCTGTTTGAGATGTCGTGTCTTTTGACTATTTGACTTGTCGTTTGCCTGTTATATTTCAGGTGGTATACTTTGAAATAATTTGATAGAAAAGAAGCTGGCAAAGGGGAAAATTCTGAATCCCTCCCCATCTTAATGCCTGAATCCTCTGGTTGGTTTAGTATTCACTGTAGTCTTGTATTTTTTTGCAGCAGCAGATAATGGAGGGACTACGTCTGGTAGCACCCAAGGAATTCCTCCCACCACTCCCGCAGCAAATTCCAAGTCAGCAGCAAGAAACCTGGGCTCCTCGACYGGAGAGAAGGAGGAAGGGAAGAAGGTCAGAAGGCAGTGGGAATCATGGAGCACTGAGGACAAAAATACTTTCTTTGAGGGACTGTATGAGGTATGTGTAAAGAAAAAAAGGCAGCTTAGGCTTCCTTTAGGTATCTGGATGTTGCTAAGAAGGTTAATTTAATTGGGTTTTGCAGGAACACCCTATTATATATATATATATATATATATATGTGTGTGTGTGTGTGTGTGTGTAATACATATATACATATACATTACATAAATGCATATATGTGTGTGTGTGTGTATACCCACAACATACAGACATATATATATATGAAAATATGTATAAATATATATATATATGAGAAGATATGTGTCTGTACAATCACCTATAAAACATCTGTGATTCAAAGCCACTTTCCAAAAGTTCTAAGCTTCTTTTTCCTGAATATGCAGGAAATATGGATGAGGGTAGATGGAGCCAAATGCCATGTCGGAAGCCAGATTATTTTAGCTTTTAGGATATATGTCATAATAAAAATAGAAATGAAATGCACAAGAATGTGTCTACCTACCAGTGAGCTCCTTAAGGAAACTTAAAAACACAAAAAGTATCTCCTGCGAGAATATATTGATAATTATCGTAAATGGGATTTAATATATTACCGTGTAAAGTGAAAATCACTTATGTAACAATAACACTACAATTTTTTTCAAAGATGTTTATCGTAGAAGAAAAGATCATTAATAATTTTATTAATAACATTTATTAATAATAAAATTAATAAAATTAATAAAATTAAAGTTTATTAATGATAAAATTATTAATAATTAAGAAAAATGTAAATTATTTCAAATGAGAAGAAAATAGTGTCTCATCTCGATTTTGAAAAAGAATACAGTCCAGCTGTAGTATTTTCAAATAAGAAAATAGCTTCAATATTAATAAGAGTTTCAGGCACTGGCTTTAGTCTTTGACCGTAAACATATCTGAACCAGGTCAGTACTTGGGTGGAAGACCTGGAAAAACTTAGATAATCTTGCCCATTATTTCACATGATGTATACAGTCTTTACCAGAATGTCTAGTGCTTAATGATTGTTTTAAGAGGATTTCRGCTTTAGAAATGCATAATAAAAATAAGAACACAAGTAATGCTAAGTCCTTTAGTGCTGTGAGGGGTTCTTTAGAATGTGGGTGTGTAAGCATATGCTTCATGTGTATATTTGGGACTAGCGTGAACACTTATACTCTTTTTCCCTTTTTTTTTCTTTCTTTTTTCTCTTTCTTTTTTCTCTTCCCTTGTCCCCCTCCTTCCCTTGTCCCTCTCCTTCCTTTTTTTTTCCCTCTCTCTCCCCCCCCTCTTTTTTCCTTTTTCCTTTTTAAAATTATTCTTACTCTTTCTAAGAATTGTGTAAAATTGAATTCCCTTCATTCCATTGTTCAAAGGAAACATTTATTTTAAATTGCTCTGGAATAAGTTCCAAAGTCTGCGGTAGGATGGGTTTGGGCTGCACTTTGGTTGGTCGCCCACTTCCAGTCATTTATTTTTTGTCTTTACCATTACCTTTTAGTAGAGATTTTCACACTTTGTAATCATATGTAAATCAATTCCAGCTTTTTTTTTAGTTCTTCAGAAATTTTGTAATAGCAGGAGATCATTGGTGATGTAGGTGAAATTTATATTTTCTTTTTTTTATTCTCCAAACACTATTTATTTATTTATTTATTTATGGGAATTTAAAGACACACTTCCGTGTCTATTTCTGTGTAGAGAATAAACTTCTACAATACATTGAACTGTAAAAATGTATTTTCTCTAAGAAAATACTGTATTTTTAAATAAAAAGCTTCCCTTCATTATTTGAAACTCAGTTTTTGTACCACTAAAAATCCGAATGTGAATTTTACTGTAAAAAAAAAAAAAAAAAAAAAAAGACAAACGTAATATATTTTTTTCATCTTAGAAATGGAAATAAGAGGAAGAGGGAAAGGGACACAGGGGAAATTAAAGAAAACAAAATCACCAAGTTGTTATTTTCAATCATGCTACCCAGAGCAGTTCTAAGTAACATCATTTTTAAACGATGGTTTTACTTTGAAAAAGTTCTTTTTAAGAAATTAGGAAGTAGCTTCTTTGACATAAGTGATACATTTTGCCTAAGAGAAACCGGTCACCCTTGCCCTGTTTCTGTTATGACCATTCAAATGTGATTTCCCGCAAAGAACTTCCAAATCCCTTGTGTTAATGGTGTTGTCTTGTGACAAGAGAGAGTCTTGGTTTTGAGTATTTCACCTTGTTTTATTTTTAATTCAGCACGGGAAGGACTTYGAGGCGATCCAGAACAACATTGCACTGAAATACAAGAAGAAAGGCAAACCCGCCAGCATGGTGAAGAACAAAGAGCAAGTCCGACACTTCTACTACCGCACCTGGCACAAGATCTCCAAGTACATTGACTTTGATAATGGTCAGTATGCAAGGAYGTGGGTTCAGTGCAGAGCTCAGTCTTGTGGGGACTAGGCTTTTTGGTGCCATTCTAGAGGGTAAGAGGGAAACAAGATGAGAAAATACTGAATAGTRCTAAGGTAGGTGTGGATTCTTTGCATTTTTAGCATGACCGTGCGACAGATTTTTATTTTTTCTTCTTAAATAACTTCCCCCCCCCCCCCAAAAAAAAAATGTTGGTAATAGCATCATTACTTCTATGGTACTTTACCACACAGTAGTAAATGTTCATCCATCTCTTGATTTTGTGGAAAAGCCAGGTTTAAAGAAATGTTTTTCAGCTACCTAAATGTTACAGTCACTCTTGGCATCATGAAGCAAAAGGACCCCTGTGTCTGCTTTTCACCACCTTGGGGAAAGTCTGACCCTAGTCTGAAYAGCTGAAATACTTACTTACACTTTAAATAAACCTGAAACTGTGTCACTGATTCACTAACCAAGGAATCCCAAACTACTGAATTCTCCTCTTTCTATTCTTCCCTGCTTATCCCCAGATCTTCAGTGATAAGGAACCCGGGTGTACATATGAACTCTTAGCAGTGTTTGTTAACAATAGTGGTAATGCATGRTCTTTGATACTTGATTTGTATCAAATACAACATATTCTGGGTCTTGAAGTGAGAATTCAATTGAATTTCTAGCCTAATCTAAATAGCAGGTTAAAGGAAACCTTTCGCAGAGTGAGTGATAAATTCTAGTTCTTTTGACTCTGTGAAGATGCTGTGAAGAATGCCAGGGCCCCTGTTAGCATGTTGACAAACGATGTCCTGGGCCTTCCTGTCCTTCTGATGCTGTGCTCCCAGTGAATTAAATTATTATGGTAGTTGCGTGGTGGTTGAATTCTTTAGTATTCAAGCAATTCTTTTATCTTCAGCAAAATTCTGGACAGTAAATTCATCCTGTCAAATTCTGCCTATACCTGTCTTGTTAAAAATACCTCATGCATGAGAAATGGCTGTGACTTGGAGCGCTAATGACCTGTAAGGCGTATTATCACGTACCCCTAGGAAAAGGGAAAGAAACACAAAGAAAATGGGGAACACAATTCATAGAATTAGGTTATCTAAGACAGTTAAGTCAGAGGATGACTTATACATCCAAAATACTTTTACATTTAAGRTTATCTGAAGGAGCACTTAGGTGTTTAAAAAGCATCTTACAGCTTAAGATGTGCTTTTTTTTCCAAAGCACAAAATGACATTTTGAGATAAAACAAGCCATTAATATTTTATTTGAAAATAAATGTCATGGCAAACAGCATTTGAGGAAATTAGTTTGTAGGACATGTTAAGGAAAGTTGTTGTGGGAATACCTAATCTGCTGTCTGAATAGAGTAGAATTCTGTATCTCAATCTCTGCGATCCAAAATCTCATTAGATGGAGGACTTTAAGAATTAGTGCAGTGCATTGATTAGTTTTCGTACTGGTAAAAATACATGTGCCTAAACTTGAGATTAAGGATGTTTACAAGTCAAAAACCACTGAATTCTTAGTTAAGAGAGTAATTTTTTGTCAGAGTTATAAACCACAAGATTTTTCAGTGCTGATGTAGATCTCTAAATATATTGGAAATAATAAGGTCCACATGGCATATGTTGATATGAAAAGAGAAAAGCTAAAGCTGGWTAAAATGTGTATAATTTTATATAAAAAAATAGAAATTGGAATTTGCATCTAATCTACATTGAGCTTTTGTGTCTCCTGAAAAATTTGGACCTAGTTGTGAATTTTCATGTACAAATGCTATATGTGTTTTCTTGGGACATCAGTGTGCTTTAGAAATTATAGACAGATAAGGGATACTAGAATTGATATAACTGAATTAACTTTGCTTTGCATATTGAGCTGTTAGTTTAAGTTCTTTGAAAGCTTCTTGGTTCTTTTTTTTTGTTGTCCAAAAAAATGTGTTGCCTTTCCCAGAAATTTAAGTTACCAACAGCAAATCTGTTAACCCCTCTCATTTTGGTTTTCTTGGAAATAGAGCTTAGTGTTACCTTCAAGATTAGCTTTTCTCCACAGTGTTCAGATGAGCACCTGCAAYGTGGATGGTGTTGTCTCACTAACTCTGCTTCTGCTTTCCAGTGTTTTCGCAAGGGCTGAAAAAATCCTCCCTGGAGCTTTATGGCTTAATCTGCTATGGGGAGCTAAGGAAGAAGATTGGGGGATGTGAGTATGAATTTCTGACTGAAATTGAATGACTGAAAAATATTTTCATATGGTAGATTTAGAAATGCATTTTAGAAATGTTGAAGTTGACCATGTCCAGAGTAGTTTCACTTTTGCAGGATGTTTATTCACTATATTCTGCAGCCATTATCTGTTGTATAGATTTTCATGAAATGTATTTTTATTTTTATAAGACCTTCTTAGTCTGTTGCATGAGTTGTGTTTGTCTTCAGCAGATTTCTTTAGCTTTTACTGTCTGCAGAAAGCAGCACGTGCAATGCCTGCGGGTGAAAGGTGAATATATAGGCAGCTTAGACACGTCTGTTCCATTATTCCTGAAAGCAAAGAACTTAAATGCATAAATGATACTATTTGCACCCACAATTATTTTTGTCTACACAATCAAAATCTGGGATGATGCCTTTCTACAGTAGAGGTTTGTAGAAGAGAATCCAAGGCTCTAAATTTTTCCATAATAATGAATACTGAAGAACTGAAAACCATAAACAGAAATAACAACTTCACCACTAACCAAAATGCGTCCTTGCCTTGTCAACCCCAGAGGCTGGAGGCAAAGTAAAAGATCAAGAAAGGCTCAGTGAGTGGACACACACAATTCCTAATGGAATTACTGTGTATTGGGAGACTTTTTGCTAGATTATTTCCTCACCTGGAGTTTTATTGTAACTTCTCAGTAATCAGCCTGTCCTGGAAGTTTGCACTGACCATGTTTTGTCTGTTCACTGGAGAAGTGATTTTGAATTGGTTCAGGACAGAGGTGCAGAGGCAAGACAGGTTGCCCTGTCAATAGCAAACAATGTTAGTGTTTCTTCCCTTTTTCTGCATCTTGTCTCCAAAGCATCCATGGCTCTCACTGGGAATGTGGCTTCCCGCAGTCACCATGGCAATGCAGGCACACTCAGTGCTTCTCCCTCTTTATATAACTTTTTTTTTTTTTTTTTTTTTATATATAACTTATTTTTACCCACTCCTCGTCTCTTCCTCTAGACCAAATGGACCAGAGCAGCAAGTGTCTATGTCCAGATTGAGAGGTTTCTCCCATGGCTGATGAAAGTAGCTTTTCCTTCTTATTTTTTATATTTTTTGTGGTATTAACCCAGGCCCAGCTTCCCAGCAATTGAGATGACTTTATGTAGAACCWTCAAGGAAAAGTGTGTCAGAAATACCCCCAGCATTGCCAGAGCGAGGTTAATTGTTCTGTAAATAGACCTGGACTTTGCTATTGTAGAAAATAGCAATCAAGTTACAACAATATACTGCAGTTTTAAACGCAGTTAAGAAAGTGTCGCTTACCTGGGCTTTTTTTCAAGCCGCATGCAGACGCGTGAGGGCTCGGTGCTCGGTCGTTCTGCTGTGCTGCCGTAGCAACAGAGCCTGAGCCTGAAGATCTGCAAGCTTTTTTTTCTCTTGTTTTTTAATGCTGTGGTGTTGGGTTGATGCTCAGCCACCCAAGATTTCTGCTGTATTTAAAAACTTTGAACATTTAGTCTGTGAGTAATCCATAGTTTTTGAGGCAAGGTTAAAGCTTATACATGGGGAAAACAGAGTATTTTCAGGAAGTTGATACTGTAGCCCATTTATGCCTGTTCATCCTGCATGAGAATAAAATGCAGTAGCTTTGCAAAGCAAGCACAAATGGTCTTGACTGTATAACTTAAATCCTAATTACCTGTGTTGTCCTTTTTCATGGGAAGGTATGGATGACAAGAACGCAGCTAAACTCAATGAGCTCATTCAGGCTGGGTAAGTATGAACTTCTTCTGAAATTTGTGGAATTGGGTTGTTCAGCAACCCAGTTGTTGATCCATTGATTGTTAAACTGATCATCCTGAGTCTTGAGAGCATCTCGTAAGTACTTCACTTTGCGTTGAAATGCGTTGGTTCCTTCATATATGTCTTTTCTATAGAGTCAAAGTCTCAAAATAAGAATTCTTTATCGAAATTATGACACCAAAAAGTTGACTGAATATTGGGAATATAGTTCTTCTCCATATGCTTATGCCAGCAGTGCTCTCCACTACTGACTTTCAGATCCCAAACACACTTGGATCTCAGCCCTCCAGTCGCTTCTTTCAGAATGAACAATTTCTTTCACTTCAAGAAAAAAATACGATTTGAGGGGCCTCTGTTCTGCTTAGCAGTTTCCTTTATACTACAGAAGTGGTTAGGAGTTGTCATACTGTTAGAATTAAGGAAATACCTGAAACAATTCTATATAAAATAGATGCTTGGTGTTGTGCAGCTTTTTCATTGCTCACCAGCTGAGCTTTATAGATGAGTTCCTTTATAATTTATTAATCTTCTCTCTTTATTAATTTTCTCTCTCCTGAGAGCTGGGCTTTGTACAGTTGCAAGTCTCAAATCTGATTGTTTATGAAATCACTTGTTCATTTTTCTATTAAAGAAAATTTGAAATTAGAGCAGAAATGAACATATGGTTGGTGTTTGTTTAATAAGATGATCTTTTTTCCTCATCATCCCTGTAGGTAGGTTTTATCATCCCTATAGCTAGGTTTTTATAAACAATCTGGTGCTTAAAACATTTTGTTTTAATTGAAGTTATCGGGGATGTTCCTGGGTTTTAGGGAGCCCTGCATCATCTAAATATACTAAGCCACATCAAATGTGAGTACTCACTTAGCCATCTAACACTTGCTGCTTGTAGGACTTCTTGTCTACAGCGTTTCCCAGGATGAAGTTCCTAGTTCTTCACTCTGTGTCTCACGCCTTCGCTCTGTTTTCTCTCCTGCGACTCTTACCCATTTACTGGGAAACTTTTTCCTTCTTGCAAGAGCAAACTGTGCAGGTGAAACAATGATTAATTTTACATTATTTACATTAATTGGTATCTATTTAAATATTTAATTTTTTATCTGTGTTAAGGCCTGGCCCTTTACACTGTGGATTGATCCTGTGAGTGTGCAGGGAGTTGGGCAGCCTATGCTTCTACAAGGAAACACATGGTGAATATTCCCCATAGGTTTTCTCATTTCAACTTGCTCAGGGGCATAGAAACCTTGATGGCTCTATCTGTGTGCAAGCAGCTCTTTTATTTCTGTTTCTGACACACTTCTCAAATCCGATTTTCCCTCTTTTACTCTCAGGGTGCACTGCACTTACTAAGGTTTGTTGCTTTGTTGAAGCCCTGAGTGAAACCTAATCCCTGTCACGATGGCTAATACTACTTCATTCTGATGTTTTCCTGCAGTAGATGAATGTTAGCCTCATTTGACCRTAGGAAGGGTCAGGCAAGGCTGAGATTATGAGGAGCCACCTGGCAGTTATTGGCAGGCTCATTTAGCCCTGGGAACGCTGCAGTCGGCTTGTTCTGCTTRTGTTACACATTATCTGTCCTTTCTGTAAAAAATATGTAGTCTAGCAAAGCCAAATGACCCCAAGAGATGCTGGTAGCAACGTGAGACTGACAGTCTTCCTGGCTGAGCCCACCACTGAGGTCACAGGTAGTTAATGGTGCTTGGACATGGATTTAACTGTCTGTCTCAAATAACTGCCTTTGGTGTTGCTGTTACGTGAATCAATGGTCCTTTAGGAAATAGAGCTTAGTGTTGGTCTTTATAAACCCCCAGGAGGGTAAGAATGGCCCTGTCACCTTCCTCAGGTGCCCAGGTTATTCAGCATGCTCATGTCAACACTGATCCCCACGAGCTGCTTAATGTTTTTAGGATTTCTAATTGCAATTAGGGAACAAAGTGCTGTTAGAAATTATGGGGTRTCCAGACCACTTTCTGCCCAGTCCTCTGGTACTAGCTTTTATTATGTGGCAGTGATCCCACATTGTGTGCTGAGGGAATATAAAAAGAGAGGCGGCTTTGTGGCTGTACCCCAGCACTGTTCAGAAACAGGTTTTAATAGACTGCRACCAAAGGTTTTTGTTTGGTTTCACTTCCAGGAGTGAAATGTTTTTGTTTAACTGAGATTTTGTAAAAATCTTTGCATTCATTAAAAAAAAAAAAAACTTGGCGAAATTTTTGTATTTTCTGAATAGATTTGTAAATCTTCAGCACACATGAATGAGACTTAAAAACAGAGAAACACAAAATTAAAAAAATACAGGTAATACAAGAAATAGAAAATAAATAAGCWGTTATAACACATTGCAGACACAATTTAGTGTCTGTCAGCATTCTTCTTCTCAGCTTGGAATGATCTTCATAACACAAATAAGAATTACTGTTTTTAAGACAGCTAAAGACAGATGTCTTGATGGACATTAGTCTCTCCATTCCAGTTCTTAGGTGTGATATGTGTGCAGGGGAAATGATCCTTCATTGCCTCTGATTTCCTAGGAAAGGCATTTGGTGTGCCATTGTAGGAATTTACTGTTCCATGAAATAAGTAAAATAATAATAAAAGAGCAATTAATAATACAAATTAATAAAAACAATTATTTTATTATTACTAATAAATTAGCAATTGACTAGTGGTTCCTAATGCCTATCGGGTTTAGTAATTTTTTTAACRCTTAACTTTTACCATTTTCCTCATTTGTACATATCCAGGACATGTGCAAGAGGTTAGCTAGATTAGTATCTTACACCAAGACTACTTCTRTTGCAGTTCCTTTTACTCCTTTTTACCTTCTTTTTCTTTTAAATAAATAAAACTAATCCTTAGCACCTTTTTATCCYGTGTGTTTCAATTAGGAAGATACAGTATTCAAAGATATCGATTTCTACACTAATTTAAAGGTAGAATAACTTTATTATCAGGTTCTCCCTAGATTGGTTTAAACSCATCACACTTGCTGGAAACGGGAGTCGGGGGAGTTATTCCTGATTTCCCAAGCAGAGCATCTAAATCTAGAGTTGAGGGGCTGCCACTTCTCATGCCATAGATTCAAAGCTGGAATGAAAATAAAAATCCTGATGCCGTAGCCAAATAGTGACAGGTCCTTGCACAKGGGGTTTTTAATGTGAATTCCTGCATGTTCCGTGTTTGTCTGTTGAGGAGCATATTTTGATGCTTAGTGCTGAGCTGCTGTTCTTACCCAATACTGAATACTCAGCAATAGCTGCTGCTCCCGTTTCAGGGCTGTCAGCAGTTTTGCATTTGTCTTTCTTTCTCCATCACTTTCTTTCTTATGGATTTTTAAAAATATTTTTTTCTGCGATATATTCATATGCTTCACATTCGTTTTCTGTGTATTTTTCTTTTCTGTTTTTTTCTTTGTGCCCTTTAAGCACAAATATAAGTGCATCTAGGAGCSTATGATGCATGATCTTAACATTTACATGTTCCTGATGCCCTAATGTTTTGCAAAATTAGTGGTATATTAGGTTTTTTGATGTGTCCGCTCTTCACTGCAGTTTTTGGCTTGAAGTTGCTGTTGAACAATTACATGTTTGTGCAGGTGAGGTAGAATATCCCTTGTATAATGTAAAATTTTCACATGAATGTCTGCCTGTTTATCTGAAGTGAAGTTTCTAGAGATAGAAAATGTGGTGTATTATTTCAGCTGATGTAGGTGGATGAAATAGCCTTTGGAGCATTCACGTTCTTCCTTAGGTCACCTTCAAGCCCCATGAAAAAGGGAACTTGTCAGGTTTATGTAGTAAATGAGTTGGTCTAAGAAAATTCAATGCTGCTTCTGACAAACCTTGCCTCCCTTGCACCCTTCCACTATTACAGTTAAAAAAACTGTTAAGACTCTTTGCGTGTGGCTATTTCAAGGGTACATTTTGGTGGAAAAACATGCTGCTTTAATTAAAATCGAGGTGTAGGGCTAGCTTCAGCTAGTGTAAGTTGTCAGAAGAAGTTGGTGGCACTGCCCTCAGTGCCCTGCTACAGCCGGACTGTAGCCTTAAAATTTAGGGGGCTTTTTCAAGGTGCATTAAGTTAATTACATTAATTTTCCACTGGCTTGAGTGGATTTTATACAAGACCATTATGAAAATGCGTTTCCTCCTCGAGTAAGAGGAGGGAACACCAGGCATGTCTTCTCTAAGAAAGGGAAGGATCACAGTGGTTTTGATGGCACTAACTGCATGCAAGAACAAGGCAGAGAATATTTCAGCTTCTTAACAGCCCAGCAACATGCAGCACGGCTGTATTCCCTACAGCCGTTCCCTGGCTKTGCAGACTTCCCATTTTCCAGCAGTCTTACACATTCTTGCACCTGATCATCTCAACATGAGCTTTCTAAAAACCATGAGCAGCATTAATGGTAGGAATGGAGCTCTCAACCATAACAAGAGGTCTGACATTGAAAGTCTGAGATTTCAAGCTCAAGTGAGTTGCTTTTTTTTCTTTTCTTTTTTTTTTTTTTTTTTTCCCAAGAGTAATTGGAGCTTTCTGTGAATCCCTGTTGTTAAATGGCAAGGGTATTTATTATGAACCATTGGGATATTGGGATACCTTTGTGTAATACAATGCAACAGTGGTGACAAGAACATTTCTAGGAGCCCCAGAAGAGGGGAAGAGTTGTAGACTTCTGCCATTTTTTATTTGCTACTTTGGGGAAAACAMTGATAATCCCTGGACAGATAAAAGCAGTAGGTATCTGAAGATTTTTACCCACTGCATATTCTTTCTTTTCCATCAAATCCTTCCATATTTCTGCTAGCTACAGTATGAGTTTTGCACTATACACCAATTTCAGATCACTCAATATCAAAGTTTTGTCCAAAGATGAAAAGTGGAAATTCTCCTCCTAGGAATTCAGAACGAAGAGGAAAGGTCTGCACTTTTCCAGATACTCAGCAGTTAAATTTGAGTGCAGCATAAGTTTTCTGTCTTGATGTGAGTGAGGGAGGGTGATTCATACTAGTCCTGTCTTCACTTATAATGAAACGTGGTTCATTTAAAAAATATATTTTTTGAAAAGTGTTARCTGCGTATGATTAAACTTGGTTTCAGGAGATTTATTTTGCAAGGAACATTGACTTTCTGGTAAATCATACTTGCAGTCAATACACTTCAGTTATATCATGGCTTCCCATTTAAGGGCTAAAGTGACCGTTTGGTTTTATGTTCATCACTGTTGCATAGCTATCCACGTCTGGTGCTGTGTCTTTTAAAAGCCTTTTCTCTGGTGGAGATTGACTGTTGGACTTGGTGTGGCCCTCTGTTTGGCTTCAGACAATTCAAGTTGGGCTGAAGTTGCAGAACAAGGAGAAAAAAGTAGCACCAATGTCTCTTACCTCAACAGCTGGAGAATATTGTTCACAAACTTTTGTATGTTATGCCTATAAATGTTTCTTTTTCCATATATTTAGGGCCACAACTGTTCGCTACAAAGGGAGAAACCTTCGAATCAAAGCTCCAATGTGCAGGGCTTTGAAGAAACTCTGTGATCCAGATGGTATGTAAGGCACTGGAATGTGGAAGAGCTTTAGCAGATGGTTGCAAACATATGAGAGAGAATAGGCTTCTTCCGAGACTGATATCACTAGCAGGGGAATTAGTGCCATTTCACATTTCATTTGGGCACAGATATGTTTCTGTTGTCCTTTTATGCCATTTGCTTGTGTAGTCTCAGTAAAATTAAGCTTCACCCAGCCCTCTAAATCTTGGAATATGACAGTAGGTAGATGGCAAAGGAAGTAGCTGCATCATAGAATTATAGAATCATTAAGGTTGGAAGGGAGATCATCCAGTCCAACCCCCTGCTCCAGCAGGGACACCCTAAGCACAAGGCACAGGGTGGCGTCCAGGTGGGTTTGGAAGATCTCCAGAGGAAGAGACTCTGCARCCTCTCTGGGCAGCCTGTTCCAGGGCTCTGTCAGCCTCACTGTCAGAAATTGAGGTAATAATTAAACTTACAATATGTGAAGACAATACTGTTTTCTGTAGTGCCCATCAGTAAGCAGCGGTGTGTTGTTTAGCACTGAGCTTCTCAGACTTGCTTCGTCTCCAGTTCAGCTGCCTATGACCTCACTTTCTCTCAGTAAGTGGCAGCAGTGCAGATTAAAGTTATGAAATAAAATATTTGCATAGTTTATATATACTCAACTGGAAGCTGCCAGTAGCACTGCAGTTTCCAAGGAAAAACATTAATATATCAGAAGAGAAGGTAATCTAAAGTAGACTCTGTTGGTGAAGCTGAGCTGCCTGAATCATCTCTGGGTTATGCTCTGTTATCTGTGATGTTTTTCTCCATTTATTTGAGAACACAGCTTTCTGCCTGAGAGAGTTATACTTGGTTTTACCCCTGCCTTTTGCTTCATTTCCTTTCAGGCATTAGCGATGAAGAAGACCAGAAGCCAGTGCGTCTTCCTCTCAAGGTCCCCGTGGAGCTGCAGCCACGAAATAATCATGCATGGGCACGAGTGCAGAGTCTTGCTCAGAACCCACGGCTTAGGTACGAGCGGGCTAATCGTGCTCAGCGTGGAGCAGGGAAATACACGGGCAGGATCTTAACTCTCTCTCTCTCTCTGGAATCCTGGCTGCCAACCAGGCAGCACATGCCTGCATGATAAGGCAATTTGCCTAAATGTTCCCAATTTGAAGGCTTTGTTCAACTAGAATATATGATTCTTGCAGATCATGAGATCTCAGACTTGAAAATTAGATTACCATTATTCTTTATATTTTTTCCATTTGAGTACTTAAAAGAAACTGATAGAGTTGGAGAGTAAGATGCTTGGTGCCATTTACACACAGCTGTGASAGCAGAGGATGCAAGTAAAATGCTTATTTGCGGCACTAATTCTGCTAAAGTTTATATTGAATGTGCCCTAAGACAGAGAAAAATAAAACAGTGTTTAGAGGGGCCTGCAGCAAAACTCAGAATGTGTTGACTCAAAGAAAGATATTTATAGTTAAACCTCCTTTCCACAAAAAAATATAGGGAATGAGGAGTTTTAGCATTTGAAGGG